AAGAGAGATGCAAAGCGGGACAAATCACGCAGTCCCTCCAGAGGAAGAGACCGGAAGAGGGACAAACATCGCTCCAAAAGCAGAGATAGGGATGCACGGAAAAAGGCCGATGCTGATGCAGAAAAGAAAAAAGCTCGCAGCCGGAGCAAGAGCAAAGAAAAGAAGAGAGAAAAGGAAAAGCACAGTAAAGCGGATGACAAACGGGGACGCTCAAGCAGCAAAGACAGGAAAGAGAAAGATGCCAAAGAGCGTGACAAGGAGGGCGAGCAGAAAGACAGAAGCAAAGAAAGGAGCAAACAACATTCAGAAGGGAATGACAAGGAAAAGTCAAAAGAGGTGGAAAAGAAGAAGAATGGAGAGCAACGACGCGACCGATCTAGAAGCAGAGAAAAGGGTCGTGACGGGTCACGGAGGTCCCGGTCCGGAGGCCGCGACAAGCGTGGCCAATCACGAGACCGAGGCCGTGACAGACGCCACAGCAGCAGCCGGGACAGAAGATCATCTCGCCGGTCGAGAAGCAGAGAGCGAGACAGACGAGACCGCGGGAGAGACGCAGAAGACCGAAACAAGAGGAAGAGTGCAGAGGAGTCAAAGAGCAGAGGACGAGACAGGAGCTCCAAAGAGCGATCCTCCCAGAGACCGAGAAGCCGAGAGCGAGATGATCGACAGAGCGGCAGGAAGAGGAAAGAAAAGAGTGAGAGTGGAAGCAGCGATTCTGAGAGCGATGCTGATAAACAGAAGAAAAGAAAAAGGAGCGAGAGTCCGAAATCTAAAGAGAGAGCGAAGGACAAATCTAAAAGTCCAAGCAAAGATGCGAAGAAAAAGGACTCCTCTTCCAGTGACAGCGACTGAGAGACTGCATGTACCACTCCATTTTTTGTTTTCATTTTCCCCATCAATGACTTGCTGTACAACGTTGGATACAAAGAGACATATTTTAGTCATTGTGTGAAACAGACATGCCCCTCTATGACTGATACGGATCGCAATGTCCTAATTTGTTTCAGTTGAATCGGTTATATTTGTCCTGCTTTTATCTGACATTTGTTTAAATTTTCTTGCCCATATCCTGACATAAACGTTTAGTGAAAATGGTTGCTTAATTGTTTTTCTGTCCAATCTGAGCTGTTTTTTAAAATGGGTTTGTTGGGGACATGTTCGCATACATTGGAGTTTTGTAAGGGCTTTATGTTTGTAAAGAGATGACAATGTTAGCTTCTGTTGAATTTGACAAATAAAAATTGATACTGAACCTGTGAATTTCACTTTCAGTGGTCCTGTTTATTGAAGACTCTTCCTAACTTTCTTCAAGTGCAATTAGGAATTAAGGATGCAGAATTTATTGGTAGAGATTTTTTTCATTTATTCTATTTTTCTTTAATTTATCTGTATTTAGTTGATATGAAAATCTGAAATAGATTTTTGTTTTGTCTCTAATTTTATTTTATAACTTTAATTTTAGGTCTACCATTGTGCATTAATATTAGCATTTGTTTTTTATCATACATTTTTTTTTTAATGTTTTAGAAAGAGATCCTCAAAATCCTGACTGTACGACCCTTTAATATGTAAATAAAATGTCCTGTTTATTGAAGACTCTTCCTAACTTTCTTCAAGTGCAATTAGGAATTAAGGATGCAGAATTTATTGGTAGAGATTTTTTTCATTTATTCTATTTTTCTTTAATTTATCTGTATTTAGTTGATATGAAAATCTGAAATAGATTTTTGTTTTGTCTCTAATTTTATTTTATAACTTTAATTTTAGGTCTACCATTGTGCATTAATATTAGCATTTGTTTTTTATCATACCTTTTTTTTTTAATGTTTTAGAAAGAGATCCTCAAAATCCTGACTGTACGACCCTTTAATATGTCAATAAAAGGAAACGACACATTGGAACCTGGCTTTATCCAATGTTCAGATTTCTCTTCTGGAAATGTATGAAAATTAGCGCATGTTTAATTAAATAACGCCTCATTTCCACATTTAAACATTTTTCAGAAAACGTAATACAAAACAAATGTCTTAATGTACTGATTAATCCGCTAAGGTACCACGTGAATTTTTTTTTTTTTTTTACTATATTCAAGCTTGAAATTAGTGTTTCAGTCATAAATTGTACCTTTATGACTCTACTATTCTAAAATATTTACTAACACTATATTTTAAGTAAGACAACTCATTCTCATTCAGAATACACTGATTCACTTCTTTGAATGAAACAGAAAGCAAGCAAGAACCAACGACCCAAGCTCTTACGATTGTAGTGACCAATCAGAGCCTACCAAGTCGTTTGAGTGACGTGAGTGGCAGCCAATCAGAGACGAGCCGTCGCTTGCGGGGCAGTGACTAAGCATGCTTTGTGATGTAGGCAAGTGTCGGTCTCAGAATCGATAACGAAGTCGAATAATTCACTCAGGCTGCCGCTTCAGGTCAGTATAAATTTGATTTGCTTACATGCATCTCGTTATTTGACTTTCCGAGACAGATATGTCGAATACTGAACATCTTTTTTGTCGCTCATTATGTCAATACTTTGTTTTTGTGTCATTTCCAGCGCAGAATGAAGAGCTTAGTAGTGTTCGACTTCGATCACACTATAGTGGATGACAACAGCGACACATGGGTGATCCGCTCCACTCCCGAGCAGACGTTACCGGACTGGCTGAAGAAGTCATACCAGAAAGGCCTCTGGACCGAGTATATGGGTCGAGTCTTGACCTACATCGGAGAGCAGTCTGTCCAGCCGGAGCACATGCGCGCGGTCATGGAGAGCATCCCGTTCACCGACGGCATGATCGAGCTCCTGGCCTTCATATCTGAGAATAAGAAAGACGTCGACTGCATCATAATCTCCGATTCCAACAGTATCTTCATAGACTGGGTTTTGCATGCATCAGGGGTGAAGTCTGCTGTAGATGACGTCTTCACCAACCCTGCCAGCATCGATGCACGCGGCTATATGAGCGTGCGCTGCTTTCACGCGCATGACTGTCAGCAATGTCCCGTAAACATGTGCAAGAGGAGGGTGCTGCAAGATTTCAGAGAGAAGCAAGCTAAGGCTGATGTGCATTATGAGAGGATTTGCTATATAGGAGATGGAGGAAATGACTTTTGCCCCGTTCGAGAATTGAAAGAAGGGGATATTGCAATGCCTAGGAAAGGATTCACCCTAGAGAAACTGTTGTGCAAAGCCATTTCAGGGGATTCAGAAGCACTGCATGCGAAAATCATGCCCTGGACTAGTGGCAATGAAATCCTCAGGGAATTAACAGCTCTGATTGAGTAATATATTATTATAGACAATATTGTGACAAACTACAGACTCACTGAACTAATAGAATATCACATGTTTATTCTGCACTAAATGCATCATGTGCATGAATGGGCATCCTATTATAGCTCATTTCCCCCTTAATCTACTTGATAAACTAATTTGGGCATGGTGTAATATCTGTCAGAATTAAGTTTATGTTTTGGTTTCATTGCACATTTTAAAATGTAATGTTTTTAACAGTTTTACATATTATTGTTTTGACAGTGATTTTAATCTTTTTGAGATTTAAATAATAAAATAAGCTCACCGTCTGAATTTATATAACAATAATTTAACAGTTTGAGGTGCTTAATATTTAATCCACCGAGGTTTGCTGCAGAACATTAAAATGAACAAATGTAAATGCTGGCGAAATATTTATTCTAAAATCTGCACGATGAAAATCCTATCTATAAATTCTATGCCGATGAATACCATTATTGTCATGTTGTAAGAAGTAAAGCAGCATGACTGTGACCCTAATCTTTAACACTGCAGTTTGGAAATGAAAATAGTTTAATATTTCAATGCAGAAGATATAAAACGAACCATATTATTATTATTATTAGAAACCCTAATCTGCATGTTAGTACCATATTCGCATAAATACAGTGGACAGGGTTTTTATTTTAGGGCTATTTTACTATATTTTATTTATATTTTTAAGTTTATATATTACAAATAAATTAATTAAATAATATAATTAAAAAAATGTTGTTGTTATTATTAACGAAACACTTAAATGTTTTATTTATTTTCGGATTTTCATTGTGGTGTCAGACTTTTGGACCCCACTGTATGTTTCAGTCATGTTTCGAAAGCCAGCCGGGTCATAGTACCTCGTGCTCGAGTCCTGATAACAGCATTTTGGGGTCAGATGTGTCGCTCTTGACTTTAGATAAACAGTTTTGTGAATGTTTGTTCCTGAATGAGCTTGAATTTTACATGTGTGTTGTAAATGCAGCCTGAGTCTTGATTCAGAGTGTTGTATTCAAAGCAGAGATGAATGGAGAACAGGGACTCTATATTGGCTTATAAATAAACAAAGTTTGCATGTCAGAAAAGTTCGTTAATATGACCGGAGTGGAGACCTTGTTCCTGTTAGCATTTACAACTAATCATGTGTCCTTTGTACTTGTGACACACAGGCCATGCACATGTTTAGTGTCTGATTATAAAGGAATAAATTACCCAGTCTAAGTTATGGCTTGCCTTTTGCTTCTTTGAATAAATGATTGTATCGGAATGGAGGTTAAACTAAGCTTAGATAGCAGCCATGACTTAATGAGTCCAGCACACAGAGTCCAGCTGCATAAACCTCTAAAACCATTAGTAATAATTATAGGTTATATGATGTGTTTTCTTGTACAGCCGGCTTCTTGCTTTTGTTAGGGATTAAAAAATAATATTCAATAAAACAAGAGAAGAGAATTTCTATAAGAGAAATCCCAGTGTTCTCTAACTGAAAACGCCTGAAATATTTAGGCTATTAATAAACTGCCTGTGTTTTAGCAAAGTGGTGCATAGGAGCATGGTAAAAATGGTAATGCACATTCAAACTAATGAAATAATTTAAAATGATTGAAAATAAAATAATTTAAAAAGAGCGGCTCGATGTTTATGCAAAAAAATAAATAAAACAGTCAGGAAATGAGCGGATTCCGTGTTGAACTCACTTTCCCATGATTCTTCACCCGGTCTCTGAGTGACGTCATAACAACGCGACGCCATCCCCTGACGCACGTTCGGATGGCGTTTAGCGTGGCGTTTGATTGAGCTCAGACAGATCAGAACGCAAGCAAAGTGAGTATGGGGTTTTTGCAGCGTTGATTGTTTTTCTAATGTTTACAGTGTCGCAATGCTTCAGAACGGAGAGAAAAACAGCAATGACTGATTGGGCGCCCGATGTTTGTTCAGTGTCATTGTGTAACATGTGGCGTAACGTTACATGATTTATAAATATCTATAACAGATATTGACTGAATTTATAGCCTACAGACAGGTTATTTTAATCCTATTTAACACTGGATATGTTCACTTCAACAGTCAGCACTCGATATAAAACAGAAGCTGCACGCAGGAGTTTTGCTGTAACGTTACTCACACGTGGTCTGAGAATAAATTGATATTGTTCAATAAAAAACAACAACACGTGGTTTGAGATTCACACACTTGTCTAGTCACACCTAAATTTTTCATCACAATCTTTTACTTAAATTGTTATGCTGATAATACAGTCTTGTGATGTCACTTTTATAGAAAATGCAGAATAGAAACAGTGTAAAAGTGTACAGACTTTTTGCAAAATAGAAAATAAAAATCTGTTTTTGTTATTTCTCGTCCCAGCAGAGATGGCAGGCAATCAGGAAATGTCTCTTCTGGAGAAGAAGGTGGCAGAGCAGATCGAGGTGAGATGATGAGCATCATAATTAGGTTTATTTTCTCCTTCAAAGCCTTCATTCAAATAAGTGACATGAATGTGTTTCTGTGTGTGTTCAGTACTATTTTGGTGACCACAATCTCCCTCGAGACAAGTTTCTGAAGGAGCAGCTGCAGTTAGATGATGGCTGGGTCACTCTGGAGACAATGCTGAAATGTAACAGGTAAATACAAGAGAAATGCATCATGTTTTTGGAAATTGGAAAATAGAAGCTGGGTTTCTTTGGGTTCTAAAATGTCTTAACTCACGCTTACACAAATGAATTCCATAAAAAGGTTGTAAATTTGAGCAGAAAGTCATCATTTCATAAAGTAACGGCATTAAATGTTGCATTCACTGCAAGAAATCCTCAGTATTTTTGTCTTGTTCTACAATACAAATACATAAAACATCCTTAAATCAAGATACGTTTAGTTGCAGATGCATTTTGAAGATATAAAGTTAAAGGGGTCATATGATGCGAGACTCAAACACAAATCCGTCTACATGGTGAGCGAATGGGAACAATGACATCAAGTTCCTCTTTCTGCCTCTTCGCGTTACCTTTGCTCTAAAACAAACAGTGTATAATAGGGTTTTAACAGGTCCTGTTTGTATTACTGGATACTAGGGCTGCACGATAAATCGAAATGGAATCGAGATCGCGATTCGACAGAAGCTGTGATTGTCATGCGTATCTTTCAGTGAACTGCTGATTACAGAACCAGCTTTACTAACAAAATGCGCATGACAATCGCATTCGATTAATCGTGCAGCCCTACTGGGTACTATTGTTTTTCTCTTTTGTCAAGCCACATGTTTCTGTTGGTTGACGGATATTAATGTTTAAATTCAACAGAAAGGTTTTCCTCTTGAAACCACGCTGGATGAAATTAAAGAGTGGTTTGCAGATAAAGGCACAGTTGAGAACATCTACTTGAGGAAAGGAGCCCAGAAGACTTTCAAAGTAAGAAACCATTTGGACAAGTATCTCAGGAAGAATTTTTTTATGACTTCAGAGGTCAGACCAGTGTTATGGTTTATATACTCTTTATTAATATTTTGAACGTTTTAATGAATTATTTTAATTTTGTATTTTTATTTTTATTCATTCTTTAAAAATTTCTATTTAGCTTTATTTTTTAGTTTTAGTCATTTTAGTACACTGTTAAAAAAATTGTCTATAAAACGTATTTAGAATACATTTTACAAGAAAATGCTTGAATTTCAGTCTTCAAAATTTAGTTTAGTTTAACGTGTTGCTGTTGCTTTGCTAGTAAATTTCACAATTAATTACACAGTTTCTGAGTAAAAATTGCTTGCTCAGTGTACGTCAAACTTATTTTATTTTAGTTAGTTGCCAAGGCAACATTTTAAGTTGGCATTTCATATAATACTTATATTTTATTTTTTCAGCTTCTTTTCAGTCAATCAAAACAAATGTTAATTTTTTTTTAGTTAACAATGGGACAGACAAGACTACAATACTTGAAAACTGTACTTCGCATTGTAAAACTATTTTACTGTGAGTAAATCAAGAAATGTTGTATCTACCTCAGTTTTTCTGTTTCCGTTGCTGTTATTGTCTGCAGGGATCGATCTTTGCGGTTTTAGAGTCTGAAGAAGCCGCCAAGGCTTTAGTGGCGCGCACTGATGTCAAAGAGTACAAAGGGAAAGAGATGATCGTCATGATGAAGTAGGTGCTTCTGCAGTTCAGTTCCTCACTTGTCTCTGAGCATTGCATGTTGTTTTCTTAGTACCTGAATGGCTTTGAATGTTCTGGTGTGAGAGTTGTTAACCTTTTTGACCTCTCTGTAGAGATGACTATTTTTCTAAAAAGGTGGCCGAGAGGAAGCAGAATCGCGTGGAAGCAAAAGCTAAAGCAAAAAGGTAATGCACAACACCTGTTTTCTACAAAAAAGTGAGATGAGTTGAAAGTTATAATTGGTAAATGTGCATTTCAGTGAAAAGGAGGACAAGCAGAAGCAAGCTGAAGATGAAGAGCTGGTGAGTTTTCATGCGGAAATGCAAATTCTGACAATCTACTGTCCGCAGGAGACTTTGACATAGAGTTACAGAAGCTACAGCAAGATGCAAACTCCTCTGACCAGCACCAAAAATAGAAAGGCAAGATTAGAGTTTGCAAAAGCCAGTAGAGCTTTGGAACTGAGTTTATGGACCGATGAGACAAAGATGAACCTTTATCTAAGTGATGTGAAAGCAAAAGTGTGGAGAAAAAAGGGAACTGCAAATAATCCTAAGCATACAGCCTCATCTTGTAAAGCATGGAGGAGGCTGTGTCATGGCATGGGCAATGGGCATGCATGGCTGTCTGGAACAGGCCCTCTCAGCTTTAATGATGGCTTAGCTGAAGAGGAGACTAAAGGCAGAAACTCCCCAAAACAAGCAACATTGGCTGCATTAAAGGCAGGGAAATGCATTTCAACGGATGAGACCAAGAGTCTGTTGATGTCTGTGGGTCGCAGACTCACTGCTCTGATTGCATGCAAGGGATCTGCAACTAAATAACAGCTTTTAATCTTTTACATCTTCCTTAAGTTCAACTGTCCCAATACTTATGCTCACATTTTTTTAAAAACATGGTTTTAAAGATGAAAGTATAATTTTTTTGTTTTTGAAAAGCCTCACCAAAGCTGCATTTGTTTGAAAAACAAAACAAAAAAACAGTAATATTGTGAAATGTTACTACAATTTCAAATAATTGTTTTCTGTTTGATTGTATTTCAAAATGTAATTTATTCCTGTGATCAAAGCTGAATTTTCAGCATCATTCCTCCAGTCTTCAGTGTCACATGATCTTCAGAAATCATTCTAATATGCTGATTTGCTGCTCAAGAAGCATTTCTTATTAATTGTATAAAATGTTGTGCTGCTCAATATTTTTATGGAAACTGTGACGCATTTTTCAGGATTCTTTGATGAATAGAAAGTTCAAAAGAACAACATTTAACCATTATGAATGTGTCTACTGTCTGTCTTAACATTTTTTTTTTAAATCCAGTCTTTATTAGCAATATGAGTTATACCTTTAAAGAATGAATCGACGCGTTTCAAAAAGGCGGGGCATAGAGGAGAAACAATAATGTACAGTATGTGGAAAATAATGTTTTTTTAACTTTAAATCGCATAAACACATTTCATTACACCAAATACACAAAATAATGTTCTTTTTAGCAGCATCATATGACCCCTTTAAAAAAAATTTTTTTAAATCCATATTGCTTTATTAGCAATATGAGTTATACCTTTAAAGAATGTCTTCCTCCATTAATTTCTGTCGTTGATATCTTCCTCAGGGCACCATCCTGTTCCACTCAAACGCCCAGGAGGCCCTGCAGAAGGTCCGAGAGGCTAAAGGAGAAGAAGATCCTAAGGTTAAAGAGCAGGTTGTTCAGTGGGAGGCACTTGAGGGAGACGTAGAAATGGAGACTCTGAAGAAAATCATGGAGGATCAGCAGGAGTCCATGAACAAACGTAAAGGAGGCAGAGGTAATTCAGAGGACACAATAAACACACATGCAGGTGTCTGAACTCACAGTTTAACACATTGCTCTGATGCTACGCCGTATCCTGTGACTGCAGGAGGTCACAGGGGTCGTGGAAGAGGCAGGGGAGGACGCAGAGACCGAGGAGGAAGAGAACAGACCCAGTTCAAGGGAAAGAAGACCAAGTTTGATAGCGATGAAGAGGGAGATGAAGGTAAAAGGGACATTTCTCCTCGATTGATGTCACATACACTGAAAGAAATGGCGTAGAAACAATTTTCACTCTGAAATTGCTAGTCACATATAGTTACAAAAAAAAACAGGAAGTAACATGTTGAATTAAATATGAAATGTTGAAGTTGAAAGACCAAAGTAGTATTTTCTTATAAAACGTACTCCAATAATCTGTTTTATTTACAACTTTGAAAAGTCATTTCTAATGCAATTTTAACAAATATAAATGTAAAACAATAATATAATAGGTATGATTTTGTTTTAAATATATATTTGTGTTTATTTGTTTATTGAACTTCTTATGCCTGGTAATACTGGTCATTTAAAACATTTAGAAGTATAATTAAATAATATACTTAAGACATAGTCAGACGTTGTGGTCGTAGTTTTCTTCAATACAAAACTACTACAAATCAAAACCAAACAGAATATAATGAGCTACGAATTTGTTGCATAGCCTTTTCTATTTGTTTTTATTATTTTAAAATTGTAATTGCAGCAAAACAAATGTACTTTCTTGTTCTTACTATATCCGTGACATAAAACTGCCTTTGTACATGCATTTCTAATTGAAGATTTCTGATAGTTTGTTGAGTCTGAGGCTGAGACTGGAGGTTAGTCAGGCTTTTCATTAGTTTCATCACCCACAGACATGTAGTGTATTCAAATGCCTGAGTAAATAAAGTTTGCTTTGAGTTTTTGGCTTTAGTCATATGAAATCAGAAATGTATTTTCTCCTTCAACAGAACAAGCCAGTCCAAAGAAGAGACCTCTGGAGTCTAACGGTCAAGATAATGAAGAGCCGGCTTCCAAACAAGCAAAAAGCGAGAACGGTTCTTAAGGGCAAAGAACTGTGGCCTTTTTTTTTTTTTTTGTAACCTGGAAAATGCATTCTCAGACTACTTGTGTCAAAAGATGCACAAAAGCTTTATGCCACACTTTTTCCCTGAACTCACCATGAAAAAGGCACTTTTTCTTTTTTTCTTTGAACAAACATACTACGTGCCTGGATGTTGTTTATTTATTTGCCATACACACACTTATGATTGCTGGTATGATTTAAGATCTCATCTGCAGCTCTATAAATGTGTCATTTCAAAAATCTATTCAGCTTAAGCAGTTAGCTGGAAGCGCTTCTATAAGTGTTGACATCTTTAATTGCATATTTTCATTCCTTGAGCGCTGACAGTCTGCAGAATCTACACCGATTGTGTTTTGAGCGTAATCAAAGAGTTGATTATCGGTTCTGACAGCATTTGTTAAACGCAGTACTGTATTATCATAGAACTGTTTGAGGCCTATAAGTGAACTTATTAAGGTTTTGAAAATGTCCGAATTTTTAGTAATAAGCATTGGTCAATATTGTTGTTTTTTTCCATTAACGAAAACCTGTTTTCCACCTGCTAGATTATTCCATTGCTTTTGTCACTTGCACAAACGTAACCTAAGACAATAAGTGTGTGTTATTCTTGTTTCTTTTTATACGTTGCTGTAAAGTTGCTTTAAGTGGTTACAGAGGCATGTCGATCTGGAGAGTTTTCATTAGGAGGAATTAGATTTGACTGAACTTTTTTTTTTTTTTTTTATCATATTTTCTTTATCACAGCAACGGAAACATGTCTCTTAATCTAAAGTGCTGTTTTAGATGCCATGCTTCATATTTACCCATTCAGGGCTTCAACAAGCACTCATTATTTTTTCCTTATGTTTTTTTACTGTCTGTCATCTGTTGAGATGAATATTACACAAATTTAGAAATTCAATAAAGAGTCTTGAAAATCAGAATAGTAATTATGTATGTGGTGTTGTCATTTTTGATGCAGTAATCATGGTGCACCAATTCATTTGTGGCTCTTAAACTCTTGAGTATTGGTGAATGTTATTTATATTTAAATTAATATTCTTGCAGTTGAACAGGCCCCTAATGCTTCTGTTGTTAAAAAAAGGCAAAAATTATAATGACAGACACTAACTTTGTACTCAATGCTTTTGACACAATAGACTCAAAACCACAGTGAATCCTTCAAAGATTACACCTAAAACTTGCTAAAGAATTGAGCATAAAAAGTAGTAAATGTTGTCTAGCTGGAATGCTCATTTAAAAATTCTAATATTTTATATTTAGATTGCAACAGTGGCAGCCAGAGAGAACTATTGTGCTCGATGGAAATTTGTTGTGTCAGACTGAATCTAAACCATTGTCTTTTTGTAATATTGCTAATATTATGACTACCATGTTTCTGCCTTAAGTCTTGATTCACCCTTCCACAAATGAAGGCCTTAAAAAGGTCTAAAATCTGAGCAGAAGAGATTTAATTCAAAGTCGTGCATGGCATTAAATGTTGCAGTGCATTAAATGCACTTTAAAAAACATTACAAATATATTTACGAACGATACATTTACTTGAAATACAAAATGACCCAAAAAGTCTTGTTTTCTGAGAAACTAATCAAAATAGATTTTTGATTTTGAAGTTTATGCTTAAAGTAAAATTTAGATTTTTTTTCTCAAAATGAATTAAAAAGTAATGAACATCTGTTGAAATTTTTATTTTTATACTTCGAAAAACATTGACATTGTGTTCCCTTTCAACTTTTTCATTAAAGTATTGCATTTGCCTTCATAACAGCTGCAGAAACCTTGGACTAAATTAAGAAGGCTATATCGTATATGCTACAATACATTACTTTTTTTTTTTTTTAAATGAAACTAAAAATGATTATGATTAACTGTTATTGAAAGACCTGTATGCTCACAGCACAAACATCGCTACATCATTATGATGTGTGATATCATATTGTGTTGAGAGGAAAAGTGTAAAGCTCCGTGTCTTTTAGAGGTTAAAGCTGCAGTCCGTAACTTTTGGCGCTCTAGCGGTTAATAAACAGAACTGCGTGCGTCTTGCGGAAGAACATTGTAGCCGGAGCTACTTCTCTGTTTTATGTCTATGGCGAATCACGCAGGTACTGGGCTACTCCGCAGCGGTACCTACTCCGAACCAGTCTAAATAGTCCGAATATAAACACTTATTATAGGTGTACCGTAGTGATTCAGGACAAGCCAAAAACACGGTTTGGAAAATGGATTCATGGTGTACTCGCTTATTATATAAAATTTGTACATTTTGAACACAAAAAAGTTACGGACTGCAACTTCAACTTTTGATCTGAATTATTATTGTGATATCAGTGCAAATCCAGCAGGGGGCGTCATGCCTCCATTTAAGTGCCCAAATATCAAGACGTTTCACTGCAGTTTTTGCATGCTAAATTCAGGTTTGTTTTGCTTAGAGGTGGTTGTGCCCTTTGATGTTTTCCTTTTGAGTAGAATGCAAATACTTCTATCTGTGGTGTTTTTCCTTTGGTGCAATTTCACTGTTGGGAAGCAAAATTTCCAGTAGACTGGTGTTGATCCTCGGCTCACCGCATCAGCGCATTTCAGTTTCTTGATCTGCTCCCACCATGGTTTGAGATTTGTTTGTCAAGCTCCATGCTTTTGAAATCTCCACCTATTTTACATGTCCATATTATGTCTAGATGTTCATGCTGGTGTGAAGAGCCATCTTTTGGCTGAAGAGATGCTCTGAAATCAAGAATGTCATGCTTGGGCCAGTGAGCATCGATACCCAACCAAATACACAACACACTAAAACCACTACAAATGATTTTAGAAACAAACTTAAGTTGGAAAAAAAAACAGCTTAAGCCAGCCTGTTGGTCTTATCTGGTTTAAACTGGTCTTCCAGCCTGGCTAAATCAGTTTCTAAACTCCTTCTAAAACAAGCAAGCCAGTTTAGGCCGTTTTTTTAACCCCCAGCATCACTCTAGTAACCCGTTTTGCATGTGCAAATATCATATCATCTTTGTAGTCTCACTCTATGTGACAATCTGATTGTTATTCTCATTTCTCCCAGTTAAGATGCATTATTATTTTCTGACGTCTTAGATTTTTGCTGTTTTCTATGGGCTTTTTCCCCCCATTTATGATGTCAGTTGACATGGAGCAACTCACAGTATCATGCACACACACAGGTCTTCATGCATCGGTGCGTGGTCTATTGTCACCCTTGTTTTGCATGCACAAGCAGTCGCCAGCATGTGTCTTTCAACGTCTGCAGCACCTGAAAGTCAAACATTCAACTGTGGCTGTTCAACGCACATAATGCATGTCCTGTGAAATGAATGCCAATGGCTTTACGATCGTTTACAGAGATATCGCCATACGTGACGTGAATGTGACATGAATCGTTTGTTAACAAATAGGTTGTCGGGTGTCATTGAGTACACAATCCAATATCTACAACGCATCAGTTGGAAATTCACAGCACTTGTTGAAGTCAAGTAGATACCTGTTATGTGTCAGTGCTTTGTAATTACCCTTTTGCATGTAAGCAACCTGTCACGTCACTCTGTCCCAGCATGCACGCTGCTGATGGGACACTCATTGTTATATGACCTTGAAAAGTGCATGTGTATAACCAGCCACAGGCACCTACAGCTCGCTCTCATTCGCACATGGTCAATACCTGAGCAATCAGGGCTTTAGTTCAGTAGTCTGTGGGCGGCGAGGGCTTTCAGAGATGAATGGACAGAGAGATCAGCCTGATAACGGAGGATTAATTCCCGCCTCAGTGCATTATGTGCAGCCGTTAAGCAGTATTTTAAGTTGATAAAGTGTTGAAGAGGTTAGAAGAGAAGAATCATGTGTTTGTGTGCGAGAAATGGAGAATGTCCTCTATTCAAGGTCACAGGAAAATGTGCAGTTGATGAACGCGGGATGTGTGTATTTTGACTGAGACGTAAGCCGTACAAGGGCGGAGAATCAGACTGGAGGGGTTCTTCTCCCTAAGGCGGTCTTGACACCACAATGACAAGATGATTAATTTCTATTTTTAGTCCTGTTTTTTTTTGTTTTTTTTGCCACAAGTCACACTATGATCTTTACAAGTCTTTAAAAATGTCAGTGGTATCATTTGAGTACTAAACAAGTGTTTAAATCCTAGTTATGAAATTTCTTCATTTTAGGAAAGGGCAGCATTAGAAACGCCACACTGGACTTAATTTAAAAAAGCAGTTATAACATATCTTTATTCTGAAACAGTTCTTAAAATAACTATTTTTAGTGATAAGAACATTTTAAGAAACTTTATCCACTTTAAATGTTTAATATTAATTAAGATTTATTTTTCTCAATTTAAGACTTAATTTTTACATTTAATTTGAACAATTCCTTTCACTTTTTGGCAAAAAACGTGCTGCACAACTAAGGTTTAAATTAAAGCATGAAAAATGTGGACATTGTGTGATATTTCTTTATTTTTAATAAACGTTGTTGTTAAACTTTTGTTGTTGCAAAATTGACAACATTCTACAGCACAATATGATATTTCTGTCATAATTTCCCAAAGTTAAACTGAACTTTTATTTTGGCGGGTTGTAGTGAAGACCTTTGAGTTTATGTTTCCGTGCTTCAGTATGTAGTAGATATTTAAACAGCCGTCTTTTGCAGTTTAGTCCATATCACAATCTAATTAAGTGTGTATGCCTTACTTTTGATTTATTCATAAAACTTCCGTCAAATTATATGACATTACGCTTGATACAGTACATTTCATGGATTTCGTCATACGGCCCTACAAGCAACATTCTGGCATCATTGAAGTGACTTTTGTCTAGGCAAGTAGGCTACCACTCATATTTTTTTTTTTTTGAAAATATAAAACTCTAGTTAATTCTGTAGAGCCATTTGACTCTAATGTAATACAGCCATATCACTATGCATCTGTGAACAGGTAATTAGTATCTGGTTGCTTGTCCTGTTTACCTGTCACTAATTAAATAGATGATTAGCTTTAACAAATTAGCCAAACATTGCTTACCTACCTGTCGTAGCAGATGGATTGATTGATGGAGATTCTAATAAGATCTGGAAACAAACTAAACACCAGTCCTCTGCCTATTTTTTTAATTTTTTTTAAGGCAGCCTAAACTAGCATTTACTGGTTTAAAATGTTTGTCTAGCCTGACTAAGCATGTGGTTTAGCTGGTTGACAAGCTAGTTCAAACCAGACCTGCTTAGGCTGGTTTAAGCTGTTTTTTTTATCTTCCAGTAGCATATGGATATTTTTAAAGTTGCGATGAAACTGAAGTATCCATATGAAGGGCCATGGAATATATATATATATATATATATATATACAGTATATATATCTCTCACAATTCAGACTTTTTTTCTCAAATTTCTGACTTTTTTTCAGAGTTTACATCAAACTATTCTGACTTTTCTTCTTACAATTTTTAATTTACATTTCACAATTTTTTTTCTGCCATGGAATAAAAAATGTAAAGGTAATTGCTACTATTCATCTAACAGTTCTGACCTTATTTCTTGCAATGTTGATTACAGTATCTCAAATTTTTTTTCTCGTAATTATATCAGAATTGCAAGATGCTGTCTCTAAGAAAAAAAAAATGGGAAAAAAGTCCGAATTGTGAGAATGTAAGTTGCAATTACCTTTTTTTTCATTCTGTGGCAGAAACAAGCTTCCATACATCCAAGTAGGGCTGCACAATTAATCAAATTGTTCTAATTGCGATTACAATTATGGATGCCACAATTACGTAATTGTTCAAAGCAGCAATTAATCGTTCAAAGTCCACTTAAGTTATTCTGTGTGCTTAAGATGCGTTTTTTTTCTTTCTACATGTTATCTTAAGGGGTTTTCCATTGTTTTAATTTTAGTTTTAGTATAACACTATAATACCATTCATATTTTTACTTTTTTTTATAATTTAAAGAAGAAACCAATCCGATGTATATTTGACATTTGAGGCTTAATACTATAGAAAAGCACTAAAGTTTTTCAGTTAGAGTGTTTTCAGCTTGTTTATTTTCATATAAAAATACGGCATGCAGTTGCATCAAACAATGGTATAAACATCATTCAATGTAAATTGTGATAATCATAATTAATAATCGCAATTACAATTTCAAG